GCTCCGCTCCTCCACTTAAGTTGGAGCCCCAGAACCTGACCTGAGCTGTCCTGTCTTTACTCAGTCTATCTTTTACTGACCCGCTGCTTCATCAAATAAACCATAACTACTGCTGTTTTTATTTTCTGGGACTGGGAGTTAAACTCTGGGCCTGGTCTCTATCCCTGAGCCTCTCTGTGCTCAAGGCCAGTGCACTACCACTTGAGCCACAGTGGCTTTTTTTTTTTTTTTTGAGTAGTTTATTAGAAATAAGAGTCTCACAGAGTTTCCTGCCTGGGCTGGCTTTGAACCGTGATCTTGAGATTTCAGCTCCTGAGTAGCTAGGATTACAGGTGTGAGCCACGGGCGTCCTGCTACCTCTGCTGCCATCTGATCAGCATCGCCCGCACCAGCTTCTCCTCCTGGTTTGCAGAGGCCTCCATGTCACCATGCCTCAGAGCCTAGTGCTGGGACCTGAGAGGAAACTGGCCTGTCCCTTCTCTCCTTCACTCTCAAGCTCCTCCCCTTCCAGTGCTTTTCTAGAACTCACCTTTGCTGTCAAGCCTCCACTCACTGGAGAGAGCTCAGGCTGTCATCTGCTCAGAGGTCTACACTGCATCCTCTGGCCTGGCTGACTTCCCCTAGCACCAAACGCAATTATTTTCATTTTACTTACTTTGTGATACTGAAGTTTGAACGCAGGAGTTTTTCTTGCAAACCAAGCACTCTTCCACTCAAACCACACTACTACCCCTTTTTGCTCTCAGTTTGTTTTTCAGTTAGGGTCTGGTCCTTTTGCCCATGCCAGCTTCGGACTTCCATTCTTCTTCCATATCCCAAGAAGCTGGGAATGCAGGCATGCACCATCATGCCCAGCTGATTTTTGTTATTCATCCCAGGCTGGCTTCAGATTCATGATCTTCCTGTCTTCAACTCCGGAGCATTGGGATTACAGGTATGTGCCACCATTTCCAGAGTATTGCTGTTACTTCTGTTGTATTGTTACTTGCATGTTGATTTAACTCCAATCTCTCCCACTAAATGGCCATGTCTGTGTGAACTCTCAGGTCCTAGCAGTGAAGTGCCTGGAACTATCTAGACTGCCTAAGTGGTGTGCCAACTCAGAGCAACTAACTGTTAATTGGAGTGCTGTAACCATGTGCACACAGATAAGCGTTGGATGGTCTGGAAGGAAGGCCATGCTCCTCATCTAGGCTACTTCTGGGGTTGGAGACGAGACCAGGACAGTGAAGTGCACGTGCGCGTGTGTGTGCGTATACACATGTGCATGCATATAACACACTCACATGCAGGTGTCTGGTAGGGGCTTTAGCTTCAACTATAGTGATATTCCTTTTTGTGTGTGTGATATTGGTTGTTGGAGTTAGGGCCTCATGCTATGTGTAGTCTTGAAGGAGACTACACGTATGAAGATGGCATCTGATTATAATACATGATCTAGGCACACCCGTGGCTCACACCTGTAATTCTCTCTACTCAGGAGAATGAGATCTCTGTATTGTGGTTCCAAGTCATCCAAGGCAGGAAAGTCAATGAGATTCTTATCTCTGGTTAACCACCAAAAAGCCAGAAGGGGAGCTCTGGCTCAAGTGGTAGGAGGCTAACCCTGAACCAAAGAAACTCAGGGAGAGTGCCCTGGCCCTGAGTTCAAGCCCCAGGACTGGCACACACACACACACACACACACAAATCACATAAGGTACATATATTTGAAATACCATGTTGAAATCCCTTGGCAAAATTAATAAACAACTGAGTACTGGTGGCTCACCCCCGTAATCCTAGCTACTCCAGAGACTAAGATCTGAGGATTGTGATTCAAAGCCAGCCCAGGCAGAAAAGTCCCCATGAGACTTTTTTTTTTTTTTTTTGGTCCGGTCGTGGGGCCTGAACTCTGGGTCTGGGCGCTGTCCCTCAGCTCTTCAGCTCAAGACTAGCGCTCTACCACTTGGCCACAGCGCCACTTCTGGGTTTTTTTCTTTTTTGCTTATGTGGTGCTGAGGAATTGAACGCAGGGCCTCAGGCATGCAAGGCAAGCGCTCTACCATTGAGCCACCTTCCCAGCCCCATCCCCATGAGACTCTTATCTTCAATAAATCACTCAAAAAAGCCAGAAGTGGTGCTGTGGCTCAAGTGGTAGAGCACTAGCCTTGAGCACAAAGAGGCTCAGGGACAGTGCCTAGGCCCTGAGGTCAAGCCCCAGGACTGATATCAAAACAAACAAACAAAAAAAAAAGGACCAGGAATAGTGCCTTAGTGGTAGAATGTTTGCCTAGCATGCCTGAGGCCCTAGGTTCAATGCCTTCATACCACACGAACCATGAAATAAAAAGGATTCCTTGAGCTGGGCGTCCCTGGCTCACACCTGTAATCCTAGCTACTCAGGAGGCTGAGATCTGAGAACTGGGCTCGAAGCCAGGCTGGGAAGGAAAGTAAAATTAATTAATTAATTAAAAATTTAATAAATACAAAAAAGAGGAGGTGGGAGGGCTAATAGAGGGTGAATGAAGATGAATATGGTTCAAGTAGTTCATTTGCATACATAAAAACAGAACAATGAAATCTGTTGGCATTATTTAAGAGTAAGGGTAAGGGAGAGTGACAGGGGTAAACTTGATCTGGATACATTGTATGGAGATGTGGAAATGTTACAATGAAATCAGTCCTCTATCATTAATGTATATATGGAATCATTTTCTTAAAAAAATGAGTAACTTGCCAGGGTGCCAGTGGCTCACGCCTGTAATCCTAGCTACTCAGGAGGTTGAGATCTGAGAATGGCAGTTCAAAGCCAGACCGGGCAGGAAAGTCCGTGAAATTCTTATCTCTGATAAACCACCAGAAAAACTGGAAGTGGGGCTGTGGCTCAAATGGTAGAGTGCTAGCCTTGAGCTGAAGAACTGAGGGATAACACCCAGGCTCTTAATTCAAGCCCCACCACCAACCAAAAACAAAAAAAAAAACACCTTAGAATATAGGGTTGGGGGCATGGTTCAAATGGTAGAGCATGAGCCTAAAAAAGATGTCATACCTTCATTGCGTAGTTAAAACTAACTGAACAATATACAAAGAAAACTTGGCCAGGCGCTGGTGGTTCACACCTGTAATCCTAGCTACTCAGGAGGCTGAGCTCCAAGGATCGTGGTTCAAAGCCAGCCTGGACAATAAAGTCTGTGAGACTCTTACCTCTGATTAACCACTAGAAAATCCAAAATAGGGCTTAAAGTGGTAGAGTGGTAAAGTGCTAGCCTTCAGCAAAAAAGCTCAGAGAGGCTGGGAATGTGGCTCAGTGGCAGAGTGCTCACCTAGCATGCACAAAGCTCTGGGTTTGAGTCCTCAGTACCACATAAACAGAAAAAGCCAGAAGTGGTGCTGTGGCTCAAGTGGTAGAGTGCTAGCCTTGAGCAAAAAGAAGCTCGGGGACAGTGCCCCAGCCCTGAGTTCAAGCCCCAGGACTGGCAAAAATAAATAAATAAACCAAAAAAGCTGGGCACTAGTGGCTCACACCTGTAATCTTAGCTACTCAGCAGGCTGAGATGTGAGGCTCGTGGTCAAAGCCAGCCTGGGCAGGAAAGTCCATGAGACTCTTATCTCCAATTAAAAACAAAACACCAGAAAACTGGAAGTGGCGCTGTGGCTCAAGCAGTAGAGCTCGCCTTGAGCTGAAGAGCTGAGGGACAGCGCCCAAACCCAGAGTTCAAGCCCCACAACCTACAAACAAACCCCAAACAAACCTCAGGGACAGCGCCCAGGCCCCGAGTTCAAGTCCCATAAACGAGTAGAGAGTGAATGGGCAACTCCAGCCACACTGAGGACCAACAATAAAACACAGTGACACACTTGCAGTCCACTGGTAGGTTCTGAGTCTGAGTCACTTTATTACTACGTCACCAGAAGTCACCACCGTCACTTGGTTCACCACAGATGGATGGGCGTCATAGAGGAGGGGGCCACAGGCCACTCTGGAGACTTACCCAGGTGGGAGGGGCCTAGAGCGGGGGCCCAGCGTGGGGGCCGCCCTTCACCACACACGCACGCGCACACGCACAGATATAGTTGTGGAGCCTTATATTATACATCTTATATATAGAAAATATATATATTTATACTATTCACAGGCAGTAATGCTGCGGGAAGGACCAGGGCACCCGGGGCGGGATGTCAGGTGAGGGGCGGTGCTGGGAGACAGCTGGACCAGTCTCTCCTCCGTCAACTCCGGGTGGGAGGGGGTACCTCCCTGTGCTCCTCTGCGGATCAAAGGGATCTTGGACAAGGTGAGGGCTCCCCAGCAGTGACCAGTGAGGATTCTCAGTTATACTGAAGCCCTGGAGAGGGCGGGGGCGGGGGGGCGAGGGGGCGGGGGCTGTGGTAGGATGGCCTCTGATTGGGCAGGATGGGCATTAACTTAAAAGGCAAAGGTTAGGGTTGCCATGCCCCTCACTCTGTGCTGGACCTTGGACATTGCGGCCTTCCTGTCCCACACTTGACCCTCTCAAATGGTCTCAACGTGTATGGTGCCTTCTCTTGTGCTTCGGGGGAGGAGTGTTCAGGCTGCAGGCAGCCCTTCTCGAAGGACAGTGGAGCAGGGGGAGGGAGGACCCTAGAGGGAACTGGGGTGGCGCTGGTCGGGGTCACTGTCCCTGTGAACCTCTCAGCCATGGAGTCAAGGTACTGGAGTGTCCTAAAGCCTCCCACAGACGCCTCATGCCCTCTGTCTCACGTCCATCGCGGCACGTCCCCACCCGTGTCCCTTCTGGGGGCAGATTTCATCCAGACACGCACCTGGGCTGGACCCCAAGGAGACTAAGGGAGGATGCATCCTGAGGTGGCAGTCTGCAGCCCAGCAGGGGTCTGGGAAACTTCCCCAGCCTGGATGCCAGTCAGGGCCAGGCAGAGCGGAGCTGCCCCTGCCATCCGGCCCAGTGTTGCCAGCAGCTGATCGGTGCTCAGTAAGAAGCACATAAGCAGCACCTGGGGTCTCCAGGGCACACCACGGGGGGGGGGGGGGGGGAGTTGGCTAGGGAGGGAGTAGGCGATCCATAGCGATCCATAAGTTGTCCCCGGCCCTCTGGGACCTACACAGAACCACCAGGTGCCAGGAACACTGGCAGCACCACAGCCTTACTTCCTGTCTGGCACAGGCCCGCTGCTCAGCCTAGCAGATAGCCTGTCCCCAAGCTGTCTCCTGGGGGACTGTGACGGAGTCCCTTCCCAGATGTGACAAATGCAAGTCAGCAATGACCGCTGGGTCCTCTTCCAACACTGCTGCCCTTGAGCTGGGCTCCACTGCTCAGTAATGTTCTCTATGCCTCAGTTTCCCCCTCTGTTCAGGGCTGCTCCTTCCTGCTCTTGTCACCCCAGGGTCCTTGCTGGGAGCCATAAACCTGCAGTGCAACTTGAAATACCTCGTCACTGTTCTGTATTCATCTTCCCCAAGCTCTGGGAAGACGGGCCCCACACACCCTGGGTCTCCCCAGATGGACGGCTGGCACCTGGTGGCTGGAGCAAGCAGTGGTCACCTGCCTGTGGGGTCCTGTGCGGGATGTGGGGTGGCGGTGGTGGTAGGGACACCATCCCTCTGCTCTGCCCCCGAGGGGGTCGGCCAGCGTGCCCTCTGCACCCGCAGGAAGAGAGGTGCAGCACCGTCATGCAAGGACCCTTCCTGCCACTGCTCAGAACCGACTGCTGCCTGCAGCCCCACCCTGCTTGAGCCTCCGGGATGCCCTGCTACCTCGCTCCGTGCCCCCCTCTGCACAGAACTCTCCCTGTCCTCGGCATGCCAGCTCACCCATGGACTCCTCACCCCCCATGGACCTTCCGGAAGGTCAGGGAGGGCAAGACCTATGCCCAGGCTGCTCCAGATCACTCCTGTGTCCTGGGAGGTCCCAGGGGTGGGATCGGGCCCCTGCGGGGTGACCACAAAACCCAACAGCAACTCCGCTCATTCACTTCCTGGATGCCAGGCCAGTCCCAGCACACTGCCCACCACCGCCAGGGCCAGGCAAGGCTCGGAGAGCTCGCCCAGAGGCAGGCCTGGTTGGCCTGCTCTGGGTGGGCTACCTGTGGGATGGCTCCTTGCTTAGGAGGGGAACCCCAAGGGTGGGGTGCAGCCAGAGTACAAGAGGTCCTGGGCCTGTCGTGGAGTCGGGGTATCTCCTGGGCAGAGGGCCCAAGGCCTCCCAGGTGAGTCATGCTGATGGGGGTGGAGGGAGCGTGGGGAGGGGGGCTGGCACCGTCAGCTCTGGGCTCTCTACTGCCTCACTGCCCTTGACCTCTCAGCCACCTTTTCCTCAACTGTGAACCGGAAGCAGCTCCGCCCCCTCCCCCCTGCAGGCCTGCTGCGCCACACAGGCTGTCGGTGGTGGGCTGCAGACATCACACTCGCCCTGTGTCCCAGCCCTGCGCAGCCAGACTTCCCGCAACCCACCCAGTCCATCTGTCCCACCGCTCCTACCTCTGGGACCCACGGGGCCACCTCTGCACCCCCCTTCCACTACCCGACCAAGCACGGGCCTGGCAGAGTAGGTGCTCAATGAATGCGTGAGGACACAATGAATGAATGCAGCCCTACGCCTGCCCTCGGGCCCCCGCTGCGCGCACACCCTCAGACACACTTGCACACACATGGGCGCCCCCCACAAGGGCCGCCCCAGCCCCGCTGCAATGTGGAGGCTGGGGAGGTGCTGGGCAGGGTGACCAGGAGGGATGGGCAGGGCGGGGCTTGGGGAGGGGCAGGCGGTCCAGGGGGCTCAGTAGCCCTGCGACTGGTAGCCCTGTGGCTCGGAGTCGAAGGCATTGGCCGGCTGCTGGTAGGTGCCGCCCGTGCCGGCGGGGTCCGGCCCGGTGCTGGGCTCCGCGTAGGGGGCGTAAGGCATGCTGGAATCCTGGCTGGGGTCCATGTAGTCCTGGGAGAAGAGCGCCGAGTCGGCGCCAATCTGGTACCGCTGGAAGGCCAGCACAGCCTGGCCCGCCTGGGGTGGGGCCAGCGTGGACAAGGGCGGGTGGGAGGGACGGTTAAGGGAGAGACAGACAAGAGCACTGGGTTAGTGATAGTTAGTAGACAGGATGCGGGCAATAGAGCTTAGAGATCCTCAAAGCACCTGCCTTGACTGGACAGGACTGTCCCCATCGCGCCCCTCCAACATCCGGACCACACGTCTAGCCAGGATAAACTTCAGAAGCCAATGTCCTCAAACAATTTTTCTTTTTGTCAATTATGGGCTTGAACTCTGGACCTGGGCATTGTCCCTGAGCTTTTGTGTTCAAGGCTAGCACTCTACCACTTTGAACCACAGGGCCACTTCTGGTTTTCTGGTGGTTAACTGGAGACAAGAGTCTCACAGGGGGCTGGGAAGGTGGCTCAGTGGTAGAGTGCTTGCCTTGCATGCCTGAGGCCCTGGGTTCCTCAGCACCACATATGCAGAAAACGCTGGAAGTGGCACTGTGGCTCCAGTGGTAGAGAGCTAGCCTTGAGCTGAAGAGCTGAGGGACAGCGCCCAGGCCCAGAGTTCAGGCCCCACGACTGACCAAAAAAAAAAAAAAAAAAGTCTCACAGATTTTTCTGCCCAGATTGGCTTCAAACTGTGATGCTTCGATGTCAGCCTCCTGGGTAGCTAGGATTACCGGTATGAGCTGCCAGTGGCTGGTTCGACCAAATATATTTTATTGCCACCGTGGAGAAGTCCCAGGAGCTCACAACTGCTTCCCAATTTGGGTTTGGGTATTATATGGAATGTCCCTCCTGCAGCCAGGTACAGCCAGGTAATTAAGTTTTGGTCAACAAGGTACCTCCCAGGTTCTCTGTTCTACCCTTTGATCTGAGGCCTGGAATGCCGGTGTGATCACTGGAGCTCTAGTTGCTAAAACGGGCCATGAAGACCATATGCCAAACTGCAGAGATGGAGGGCACTTGGGTCACTGATGGCCTCTGAACCATTCTGTCAGCCCTGCATGAGATTTGTTTAAATTGCTGTTATTTGGGATTTGTGTCCTTGCTGCTGAACCTGATGGTGGCTGAAATATTTGGTCAAACAAGTTCAGGAAACTGAGTTCAAGACAGTGAAACAAATTGCAGGGACCACAGGACTTGTCAGGGCTCTGACGTCAATATCTGCTAGAGCCCCCAGGGAGAAAAGATGGAAGCAAACTCACAGTACATGGCCGCTGTGTGCACCGTTAGCTTTGATATCAGTAAAGGCAACTAACTGCACTGTGAACACCAACCTGCCAGGCTAAGGAGCAAGGCATTCTTCCCACTGAATCCTGATTCCAGGCTTGCAATGAGATCTTTCTCACCTGGGGATGGACAGACTTCAGGCCGGAGTGTCAGGGGAGTTGGTACTGCAGTGGGGGTCTTCCCCCTGCCCAGGTCACAGCCCCTCACTCCTTCCTTGCCATGGGTCCCCTGACGTAGAGAGTTAAGCCCTCGGGGTCCTCATGGGCTGATGGAGGACTGGTAGGGAGTAAAGTGCCTGGTGGTCTATTCCAGAATGGTTTTTTGTTTGTCAGTCTTGAGGCTTAATCTCTGGGCCTGGGCGATGTCCCTGAGCTCTTCAGCCCAAGGCGAGCGCTCTACAACTTGAGCCACGGTGCCACTGCCAGTTTTCTGGTGGTTTATTGGAGATAAGAGTCTCATGGACTTTCCTGCCTGGACTAGCTTTGAACTGCAATACTCAGATCTCAGACTCCTGAATAGTTAAGATTACAGGCGTGAGCCACCAGTGCCCAACTCCAGAATGTTCTAAAAGTCCAGAAATTAAATATTATCAGAAGACCCTTTGGGTTGCCCTTTGTGGAAAGCAGCTGTTTGTTTTCCTGTCTCTCTTTTGCTCAGGGTCTAGGCACTGTTCCCAAGCTTTTTATGCTCAAAGCTAGTGCTGTATCACTTGAGACACTGCTCTACTTCCGGTTTTGTTTTGTTTGCTTGTTTTTAATTGGATATGAGTCTCATGGTCTTTTCTGCCTGGACAGACTTCAAGTTGTGATCTTCAGATCTCAGCCTCCTGAGTAGCTGGGATTACAGGTATGAGCCACCAGCGCCTGGCTCCCTTCTCTTTTTTGCAGTGCTGGGGATGGGACTCTGGGCGGGCTAGGTAAGACTTCTACCAATGAGCCATACTCCCAGCTTGGGGAGGCTCCTGGGGCCAGGGAAGCTGTGGTCCATCATAGGCAAAGCACCAAACCTGGGGGAGGGCAGACAGGTCCAGAGCAGCTGGGAAGAGGAGTGGATGCGGCCCTCTGAGTTCCCGCAGCTGGGGTTTCAGAGGCTGGGGCTGGAGAAGCAGGGCGGGGAGGGCAAGCCAGGAGGAGCACACAGGAGCAGAGGACAAAGCCCGAGGCAAGGCCTCAGCCCTGTACCCGTCCTCACATCCCTGCCTCCTTCCTTCCCGGCCTCCCACACAGGGGCCCAAGGCTGGAGCAGATGAGCTCTGTGGGCCTCTGGGAGAGGCCATGGCCATAGGCATGGAGGACTAACTAACTGTCTCTGTGGCCAGTCTTCTGCCTCCAAGGCCAGGCCTCTTTGGAGAGGCCTGGGACTGGCTGGCCTGGGCTGCACTGGGGAGGCAGCAAGTCCTGCCGAGAGCCAGGGACCTGTGTCCACTGGTCGTGGGTCTCGGGACTCGTGGGCTCTGTCGGGTCTCCTCCAGGCAGCAGGCCGTGAGCGCGGGGTGCCGCGGGGCCAGGCAGCAGGCCGTGAGTGCGGGGTGCCGCGGGGCCAGGCAGCACAGTTCTGAGCTCAGCCCCCGTGAGGCTGGCTGTGCTCTGAGGCTGCGACTGCCTCAGCATCCACAGAGGGTTGGAGGGGCGGGCACTGCCCAGACACCGAGGGCCACAGAGGAGCCCGTCAGGGCACAGAGGGCTCGCCGGGAAAGGAGAGCTTATGGGAGTGTCCCTAGCTCTGGATAGGAGGATGGATGGATGAGCAGAATTTACATTTATTGAGCATCCCTGTGGCCAGGCCCATGTTGGCCTTAGTTTTATTGCACAATTGCCTTGAGAAGCGGCCTATAATCAGCTGCAAGGGAAAATGGACTGAGGCTCAGAGAGATGCAGAGATTAGCTCTAGGTCACACAGCAAAGGACCACAAGCCAAGCCACATTCTCTGACAGGCTGGGCCAGCCAGCCTCCATCCAGGCGTCATGCCACAGCCCTGGACAGGCCATCAGTCAACAGCTGAGCTCCTCCAACTGGGGACACCTCCTGGCAGCCCGTACTGCGTCATGGAGCCACTCATCTACCAGCCTGTGGCCTACTTGGGGAGTGGTTCTTCCTGCCTTCCCCTCCCCAGTCTGTGAACTCCTGGGCCAGAGATCCCATCTAACCCACGATAAGCACAAAACAGCTGCTCAATAAATGTTTACTGAATTAACAAATACAAAGAATAAACAAAAGAGATGATGAATGAATGAACAAATGAATGAACAAGTGGTAAGCTCGGCTGGTCCCTGAAGCCAGCCTGCCTGCACTCCCTGCCCTGCGGGGGGATGGGCTATGGCTGGGCAGTGGCTGGGAACAGTGTGCTGTACTCTTCCTGGAAGGAAAGGTCCTTCAGTCTGCGCACGGCCAGGGCTGCAGTCAGGCTCTGCCGGAGAGAGCAGGGGGAGGCCGCTGGGGAGGTGCAGAGGACAGCGGTGCCCCACAGCACCTGTCCATCAGAGCTGCAGACCCACCTCTAAAGAGCTCATACCCAATCACCAGGCTCCTCTGCAAGTCCCACCCACATGGGGCCAGAGCTTTCAAACTCTTCCCACTGGGGGGAGGAGGGGGGGGGGGTCGCGGAGGGGGGAGCACCTTCTCTGCACTAAAATTCTGTGGATCACCCAGGTCTTCCTGTCCAGGCCTGAGACCTCAGGGCTGGCCACCTGAATCCTAGGTGGCCCCTCCAGTGAGCAGTGCTCACCACTGTACTGAGGACCTGGGGCTCCTGAGTCTGCTTCCTGTCATAGCCATGATGACAGGCATGTGGCACTGTGCCCAGCGGCCGGTGGAGAGGGGGTCTCGGGAACGTTGTTGCCTGGGCTGGCCTTCAACTGAAATCACCATCATGATCCCGGCCACCCAGGCAGGACCACTGGTGCCCAGCTCCAGATCGCTTAACTTGACTAAATTACCCACAACATAAAGACCAGAATTCGTGTAAAAACTCCTATGTTGGTTTCTGTGGAAAAACCAAAATGCTGGCTTCTGCAGTTCCCATCCATGCTTGGCAACAGGGCTGGGCAGAGGGCGGGTCTTCAGATGTGTGCCAGGCCACCCAGGGGACCCTCGGCCCTCTCAGGCCCTGCCCGGATCCTGAGCAAGAGTCCAAGTCTCTCCATTTCCAGATGGGAGACCGGCGGGAAGCCAGGAGCAGTCTCCTTTACCCTGAGGTCTGGTCCTTCCCAGACTGGAAACTTCCAAATCTCCCTTCCAGTCGAGGCCCCCACCATCCTATCTCTGCGGGGCACATGGAGACCACCCCGGGGAGATGGAGGATGCGCGGCCCCCGAAAGCATCTCTAGGCTAGCAGGGTCTGCCTTGACCTGGAAGCCATCGTACCCGGGGGTGCCCCAGGGGACTGGAGCAAGGGCCGCAGGCAAGGCCTGGGCTTGGCTGGGGGAACCGGGGGGCTCAGAGGACACTGTACTCACCCAGGTGAAGATGGAGAAGAAGGAGAAGGCGATGGCGGCCCGGGCTGCGTCCGTCCCTTCGTTCAGTGGGTTGTCCTTGGGCTTGGACACCTGCCACTGATTGGCCAGGTAGCAGAAGCCCACAAACCAGAGGAAGGCCCAGAAGGCTGGGGTCCCCAGGCAGGTTGCATAGGAAGAGTGACACATGGGGTGGGAGGGGGGGAACACAGGAAACAGAAGTTCACAGAACCCCGCCCGCCAAGCAGAGGTGAGGGCAGAGGAGGGGCAGGCCGCCGGCAGATGCAGCAGGGAGATGAGGAAGACAGCGTAGAGCCAGGCCCAAGGGAGAGTGGCCAGGGCAGAGGATGCCACGGCAGTCCACAGTGTAGGAAGGACAAATGGGGAAGGGGAGGGGAGGGGAGGGGAGGGAAGGGGAGGGGAGGGGAGGAGAGGGGAGGGGAGGGGAGGGGAGGGGAGGGAGAGAGAGAATGAGCAAATTAGGCTGCAAGGCTCTGCCCTTTGCACTCTAAATTCCATCCACTTCCCTCTCTGGGGCCCACGGCCCACCTGCTGCTGGCCTCCGCTTCGGCCTGCAGCACTGGGGGTGGGAGGGAAGCAGGGCAAGCGTGGTGGCTTTGGGGTACTGAGGGGGGAGAGCTGGACTTCCTCTTCTAGTCTCACAGAGCCCGACACAGTGAGAGTCTCTGAGAGCTGGGTTCGGGGCTCAATGAGGGGTCCGCCAGGAGCAGCTCAGCGCACGCTATGTGTGAGGGGAGCGGCAGCGGGCGCAGAGCCCAACCCACAGACACCTGCTGGGGACCCCTGGGGCTCTGTGGAAGTGTAAGAGCCTTTCACTTAGTTCCAGTCCTTCCTGAAGGTCTAAGGAGCCCCAGGCCCCAGGCCAGGATGGCCAAGGCGGGCACTGGAGCCCCCTGTGCAGAGCAGGGCCCTGCCAGAGGCTCTGGGGAATGGACAGGGGGTGCAGGTCTATGCTGGGCAGAGCCAGGACAAGGGGGGCCTGAGGCTGGCAGGGAGGAGCACAGGGAGCACCGAGACAGGAAAGAAGGTCCCCCCCCCCCACGGCCTGTCTGTGCCGTGGTCGGTGGTAGGGCCCAGGGGCCAGGGGGCCTCCACAGACTCACACTCACCCGAGACACCAATGTCAGACAGCACGGCCTTCTTGCGGTCCTTCACGCTGCTGATCTGCGGGAAGTAGACGTCCAGGGCCAGGTAGAGCAGGCAGGTGAGGAAGGCCAGCACGCCCACGGCCACGCCGTAGCTGCAGGCGTTGGGGTTGCGGTTGTAGATGCAGAACTCCTCGCCCTCCGTGGGGCTGTTGAGGTAGCCCTCATTGACAATGGAGCCAAACACCACAATGGAGAACACCTGGGGGGGGCGGGGAGGGGTGAGCCGGGACAGGACACACCCGCTGACACTCTGTCACCTGCTGCCTGCCCCCATGTGAGTTGGGACACACTGGAGGCTCAGAGCCGGGAGGCAACTAGCCCTGGGTCACACAGCTCAGGAAGAGCAATGGCTTCCTTCCTCAGCTACAAGGATCGAAGGCCCTACCACTTGTGGACTCCATGAACCCATGGCTAAGGCCCCTGGGACTGGACTGTTCCCTGAAATGGGACCTTACTTACAGGCCACCCTGGGCATAAACTTGTCAAGGCCCCCCCCCCCCATGCTGCCCAGCCCGGTCCCCACCCTTTCTATGGCCAGGGCTCGGCAGGCCCTGGCAGTTAGATAGGGTGATGAATGAAAACCACAGGAGTTGTGTCCTCCCCTCAGGCCACCATGCTACCTCGTTTACAGTCAGCCACCCCTGCAGGCTCAGCTCTGCCCGAGGCCAGCCCCACCTCTGCCACCCACATCCAGGTACCCTGCACCTGCTGACGGCGACGGCTTCTACCAGATAGCACATGGCAAAAGCGTGGGACACAGCTTCTAAGTGAGGATCACAAAACGATGCCGGCTCCCGCCTAGCTTGCCCCTTAGCCCCCGCCCCCTGGCCCCTGCTCACTTGCTGGAGGTTAGCTGTCACGTTTGGAGCTGGCCCACGGAGAAGTTGGCATGCAACTGAGGGAAGTCTGTAACAGCTGACAGGGAGCTGAGACTTCGTCAGCGGCTGGTGAAGCCCACCAGCACCACAGAAGTGAACTTGAATTTGGATCTGTCCTCAGTAGAGCAGTCAGATGAGACCACATCTTTGGTTGATATTGAGGCCGCAGCTTAAGGGACCCTAGGCATCAACACCCAGAAGTGCAGATTTCTAACACAGAGAAACTGTGAGATGATAAATGTGCGCTCTTATGCCGTAAGTTTGGTTATGCAGCAATTGCTAATACCTCAATATCGCCAGCATTTTCAGAAGAGGCGGTCAAGGCTCGGGTATTATGAACATGCCCAGTAAAACCTTAAGGGCCAGGCTTCCTCCTCAGGCCACTCACCTTTCCTAAGTTACATCAGGAGACAGACCAGGCCTAAGCGCCCTGAAAGTGGAAGTATTATTGCTCAAGTGGTACAGCGCTAGCCTTGACTGAAAAAGCCAAGGGAGAACGTGAGGCCTTGAGTTCAGATCTCAGTCCTGACACACACACAGAAGGCTCAGTCCTAAGTGTGGCCTGTGACGTGTCAGAGGCGGGAGCTGGGGGGAGTTCACTTGTCTCTGCTTTCTGTTTTGCTAGAATAGGAAAGCAATTCCAACATGAGTCCGGAGGGGCAGTGAGCCTGGGTGTATGGACAAGCAAGAGAAGCACTGCTAATGTTCTCTGCGACATTATTGTGTGTGCGCATGTACACACACACACACACACACACGTGTGCATATAAGCATGCACATGCTGGTCCTGGGGTTTGAACCAGGACTTGGACACTGGTCCCAGAGCTTCTTTTGCTCTACCACTTTAGCCACAGCTCTACTTCCAGTGTTTTTGGTAGTTCAGTGGAGATAAGTCTCATATTGGCCTGGGAAGGTGGTTCAGTGATAGAGTGCTTGCCTTGCATGAGGCCCTCGGTTTGATTCCTCAGCACCACATAAGCAGAAAAAGCCAGAAGTGGCGCTGTGACTCAAGCAGTAGAGCAGTAGCCTTGAGCTGAAGGACAGCGCCCAGGCCCAGAGTCAGGCCCCATGACCAACAAAACAACAACAAAAATAAAATAAATAAAAAAAACCTACCAAATTAGTTATAATTCGGCCATACACAGAAGAGCCATGAAGGTGGATCTTGAACACAAGCCAAGGCACTCAGGGTCACATATGGTCATGTCTTTGCTGGCACTGGGGCTTGCACTCGGGACCCTACGCTCTTAGTTGACTTTTTCACTCCTAGATGGAGTCCACTTAAGTCCACGTAAGCCACCTCCACTCCCAGCTTTTTGCTGGTTAACTGAAGATAAGAGTCTCTCAGATTTGTCTGCCCAGGCTGAATCATGATCTTCAGATCTCAGCTCCTGAGTGGCTAGGATTCCCAGGCATGGTCACCAGCGCCCAGCTCTGTAGGATGACTTTTGGGTCCGGTCGTGGGGCCTGAACTCTGGGCCTGGGCACTGTCCCTCAGCTCTTCAGCTCAAAGCTAGCGCTCTACCACTTGAGCCACAGCGCCACTCCGGCTTTTTTTTTCTTTTCGCTTATGTGCTGCTGAGGAATTGAACCCAGGGCCTCAGGCATGCAAGGCAGGCGCTCTACCACTGAGCCACCTTCCCAGCCCTGTAGGATGACTTTTATACTTGATAGACAGTGAGTAGTAGGTGCCACAGGGCAGGGAGGGGGTGGGGTGATTTCTCAATGGGCACAGGATGCTTTTATGGCGTGATAAAGGGTTTGAGACAGAGACAAGACAGGGCTGTATAGCACCAGGAATTCATTTTTTTCTTTTCTTACTCAGGACCTAGACACTCTCCCTGACCTTTTGTGCTCAAAACTAGTGCTGTACCACTTTGAGCCACAAGACCATTTCCAGCTTTTTGGTAATTTAGTGGCAATAAGAGTCTCATGGAGGGCTGGGAAGGTGGCTCAGTGGTAGAACACTTGCCTTGCATGCCTGAGGCCCTGGGTTCGATTCCTCAGCACATGAGCAGAAAAAGCCAGTAGTGGTGCTGTGGTTCAAGTGGTAGAGCGCTAGCATGAGCTGAAGAGCTGAGAGACTGCGCCCAGGCTCAGAGTTCAGGCCCCACAACTGACAAAAAAAAAAAAAAAGGCTCATGGATTTTTCCTTCCCGAGCTGGCTTTGAACCTTGATCCTCAGATCTCAGCCTCCTGAGTAGCTAGGATTACAGGCAGGAGCCACTGGCACTTGGATGATTTTGTTGTTGTTGTTGTCAGTCTTGGGGCTTGAACTCAGGGCCTGAGTTCTTTTGTTCAAGTCTGGAGCGCTATCACTTTGAGCCACAGATCCACTTCTGGTTTTCTGGTGGTTGATTGGAGATAAGAGTCTCACAGACTTTCCAGTCTGGGATGGCTTTGAACCTGTATCCTCAGATCTCAGCCTGTTAAGTAGCTAAGATTACAGGTGGAAACTACCTACACTGGGCAGTTATACAAAGGAAAGAGGGAAGGGAGAGAAGAAAGGGGAGGAGGAGGAGATCTGTGGTGTCCTGGCCAGCCACAGTATTTGCTAGTCCTGATAGGGGATGTGTCTTCCTGCCACCCTCTGGACCCAGGGAAGGTGTCTGGCCTCGCCAGCCAAGAGGGCTACTTGGGAAACCGAGGCTCAGAAAGTGAAACCCCCACCAGAATACCTGTGTCAGCAGCACAAGCTGAACCTGAGCCCAGGTCTCTGGATTACAGCCCCTCCCTCCCTCCACGCAACCAACCGACATTTGCTTCAGGGGGTGGCCCAGAAAAAAAAAAACGTGGTGTTTCTAGAGACCCAGGGAACCAGGTGAGAGATGAGTAGGGAGGAAGCCCTGCAGGGCAGCATCAGTGCAAAGCATTTGGCAAAAGTCCGGTCTGGTGCTCAGGGGCACAAGAAGCCAGCACTTCAAAGCCATCAGGAGCTGCTGGGTGTAGTAGTGCATCCCTGTAATCCCAGTACTTAGCAAGCTGAGGCAGGAAGATCCTGAACTGCGGACACAGGCATCACAGCAAGGAAGGCAGGGCAGGCTCTGCACCCTGCCTGCCTAGGCCCGCTGCCCGTGACACTCTGTGCACAGCGAGCTTGAGCTTGACTAGAAACATCTGCAATGGTCCAAGGCTGTACCAGAAAACCACCAGGTCAGAACCCCGGGGCCCATGCTGCCTATCACTAGAACCAGCAGAACGGAAAAGCTGCTAGGTTAGAAGGAGATTTCAGACACACAGGTATCAGGCCTACTGGGTTCCTATCTGAGGACTGCAGCCATGCAGGCTCTGGGGCCTTGGCCAGGCTCTCCGAGTCCTGGAGAAAGGAATGAGCCTCTCAGCTGGGGATGGAGCTCAAGCCTAGAGCATGTGCTCTGCATATGAGGACTGGGCTCCGAGCCTTTCTCTGGAGAGAACTGCACCCAAGCACCCAGAATACGCAGGCCTCAGAGGACTGGGGTGAGACTGAGGCCAAGAAAGAAAGAAAAACACCTGCGAGCCTTTCTAAGACACTGCTGCTCTCTAGGCTGGAGAAGACACCACTGCAGCCAGTGGGAAAACAGAAATAGACCCCTTGCAGAAGCAGGGAACAAGGGGCCTCCCCAAAGCCAGAGGAGCGGAGAGGGAGACAGGCACAAGTCCGGAAGTCCAGGCCTTGGGGACTGCAGCAGAGGTGGAACCATTAACTCTGGGCTCTCTAGAGAGAAGACACAGGAGCTCCTCTGAGAGGCCTGGAGGAAAGTGCTGGAGACAATATGTCCCCAAGAGGGTGAGGAACAACATCAAAACACGCTCAGAGCCAAGTATGGTGTTACACACCTGTAGTCCCAGAAGCAGAAGCAAAAGGTCTGGGCAAAATTAGGCAGATCATGTCTCAAAGGTAGAGAGATTAAAGCTGGGTGCCAGTGGCTCACTCCTGTAATCCTAGCCACTTAGTCAGGAGGCTGAGATCTGAGGATCTTAGTTGGGAGCCAGACCAGGCAAGAAAGTCCATGAAACTCATATCAACCACCAAAAAGCTGGAAAGTGGACCTGTGACTCAAGTAGTAGAGCACTATCCTTAAGCAAAATAGCTAAGGTACTGTACCCAGGCCTTGAGTTCAAACCCCAGGACCAACACATTTAAAGAGAGAGAGAGAGAGAGAGAGAGAGAGACTAAAAAAGAGCGCTGGAGTGTAGCTCAAGTGGTAGAGTGTCTGCCTGGCAAACTTGAGGTCTTGAGTTCAAACCTCAGGACTGGGCGTGTGATCACCCTCAGTGGTCACAACCCCACAGCTCCAGTGGCCTCAGGGCTGGGTCAGCACTTAGCACAGATCTCAGG